CTGATATCATCCAAGTAAAATTCCTACTATTATTGCAAACGACTAATTAAACTTTGTCTCTCCAGATGGTTGGAAAAGCCGATGGGTCGAATCCAAACACAAATCCGACTACGGCCAGTGGAAACTGACCTCAGGGAAATTCTACGGCGATGTTGAGCTTGATAAAGGTCAGAGGTCACGCCGCCTTTCACCAGCACTCTATTGCTTATGCAAATATCTTCATCTGAAAAGAAAATGCAAATAATTACAAGTCGATGTGAGATGACTTCAAATATGCAAAATAATGCAAAGTTTTTTCCTCCCTTTCAAGGTTTGCAAACAAGTCAAGACGCCCGGTTTTATGCTCTATCCAGTCGCTTTGACTCATTTAGTAATGAGGGTAAACCACTTGTCATCCAGTTCACTGTGAAACATGAGCAGAAGATTGACTGTGGCGGCGGGTATGTGAAAATCTTCCCTGCCGACCTGGACCAGACTGATATCCACGGCGAATCGCAGTACTACATCATGTTCGGTAAGTCATGATTGGTCACTTTCTTCCACCAAGAAAACCAGCAAAACGTCAACAGCATTGACATAGTGCAACATGAAATCCAAATTGATAGCATTTACTTTCACTATTTTTGTGTCATTTTCACTTTGATCTTCCTCGTAGGACCCGACGTCTGTGGCTACAGCACCAAGAAAGTTCACGTCATTTTCAACTACAAAGGGAAGAACCACCTAATCAAGAAGGACATCAAATGCAAAGTATGTTTTACTAATGTAATTAAAATATCTCAAGATTTAATCACAGCTGTTGCAATTCATTTCTTCCGCTTGCACCCGTCAGGACGATGAACTCACTCACCTGTATACGCTGATTCTGCGGCCAGACCAGACGTATGAAGTCAAAATCGACAATGAGAAAGTAGAATCCGGTTCTCTGGAGGAAGACTGGGATTTCCTTCCTCCAAAAAAGATCAAGGATCCCGAGGCCAAGAAGCCAGAGGATTGGGACGACCAGGCAAAAATCGACAATCCTGAAGAAACAAAACCTGAGGTGCGTTTTCAATTGACAAAGCTGTAGTGTGCAGAAATCTTTGCAATATTTAAAAAAAAAGTTGTTCTTAGACTTTAATCCAATGGTGCTTTAACTTTATATTTAGGATTGGGACAAACCTGAGAACATTCCCGATTCTGATGCCAAGAAACCAGACGATTGGGATGAAGACATGGATGGAGAATGGGAACCTGCAATGATCCCGAACCCAGAGTACAAGGTACAAAACAATAGTCCTCATGCAGAAGATTCTAATATTTTAAGATCTACCAAACATGAAGCTATAAGTAGAGATGCACCGATCGATCAGAATGATATATATCTGTTTTTTTGTTGTTGTTGTTGTTGTTGTTGTTGTTGTTGGTTTTTTACTTATTTGCATAATTTAAATTCAAATATAATTGAAATTATATTTGACAGTAAAATTCCAGTCTGTAAATATTTTCATATTATGGCAGAGAAACAATACATGGCCAATGTAAAAAAAAGTCAATACACCTAATATTCTGAATAGTGTGTATATATATATATATATATATATATATATATATACATATACACACACACAT